TCTCTTGCTTAAGCTTTGTCAGATACATTTTTTAATGTTTTTGACCGTTTATTGTCATTTTTTATAAGATGAAAAGAAAACATGCAATAATACACAGCGTTTCGTATTCGATACACATTACTGCCTGCGTAATCGACCACACTGAGTCTCGTGGCAATATTTGTTGTTAGAAAAATTTTAAAATTCTACCGAAAAGCGAGTTTTACGAAAATTAGAGTTTTCAGGCTGTTTTCACCTAATATTAAAAAATTCACTATTCACTCAAAAAGCATCAGAACGAGTTCAAAACCTCAGGATATGATTAATGTTGTCCGCTAAACGTGATTATACGATCGACAAAATCGAAAAAGCATAATTTTGTTAATAGGCTTTCTAGAAACCCTTTCGGAAGCCTTAGGGTTTTGAAAAATTTCTGTGGAGATTTCCTTTAAATAGGATTTAGAATAGGGTAAATACTCTATATCCTGCGGTTTTGAACTCGTTCTGATGTTTTTTGAGTGAATAGTAATTTTTTTAATATTAGGTGAAAACAGCCTGAAAACTCTAATTTTCGTAAAACTCACTTTTCGGTAGAATTTTATAATTTTTCTAACAACAAATATTGCCACGAGACTCAGTGTGGTCGATTACGCACAGTTCATCCGTCTTCAAGGCTACCAATCGTCACCGGGTGCCAGTCCTGGGACTCGTAGGAAATCCGATACAAGGCCCGAACCGCGGAAAACCAAGGTCTCACTTGACTCTCAATTTGAAGAGGACACCCCGGGCTATCAGTCCATGAAAAGAAATCAATACAATCCTATTGGAAAATTTTTACACACGGTCTAGTTTTCCAAAGATCTCCTAGAAAACCTATTTCAGAAAAATCTTCTTGGAAAAATTTTGGTTATGAAAACATGTCCCCAAGTCTTCTCTTTCGAATGGTGAAAATCGGAGCTCTCTGGCTCTTTTCGGTCAAAAGTTATTCAAAAAGCAGTCATATACCGTTCTTTTTTTGGATGGACAATAGTTACGATTTTCTTTAGTTTTTCTGCTTTGTCCACAAAATAGTATAAAGAAATATGTCGGTCAGAACTGTTATCACTTTTGTTCGCGTTGTGAATAGGAGTATCTATTTTATAGACTCTTTATTCTTATTGTCATGTTTCAACGTCAAAGACGTATTCATCAGACAAAATAGAATCTGCAAAAAAAGGCGGAAATAACGTGCTCATCAGTTACCATTTTCGTCGTCAGCACATTCACCGATATATAGTCTAGCTAATTATACTTTTGTTCATTTTGTTCTATTTTGTCTCACGAACACGTCACTGTCATATACATTCGTTGAACATACGCATTTGTTAAAATGATTGATCCCGGTTGTAGACCGGTTTTTACCGATTTATAAACAATTTCTAATCGGTCGTTAACGGCCGGTTCCAACTCTGATACTAGAAAACCAAAAGATCCATCTGCTATACATTCTATTTATTAATGTTTTTTTTATTGTAGATGTATAATAATTTAGATATGTTAGAAGATATTAATATTTATAGAAAATCTTACAAAACTCATAGCATAATCAGTACCGAACAAAAATATAAACTTGTAATATTTCCAAGTGACAGTACATTTTCTATTGTTAATAATAAACAATGTTCAAATTTAGAACATGATGGATTAATTATTGTACAGAGTGGCAGTAAAAAGTATCCGGCAATGGTTTTCAAAGAAGGTATCAGATGAACATGCAGTTTTTAAAAAAAATGTGAAAAGTTATCTACTGTCTATGTCCCTCTCTAACTTAGGTACAATGTCTGAATTACATGAAGCACAAAAATTATTAGGAAAAGCTATGAATACAGATATTGAGTCTGATTATGATCCAGAACAAGAAAATATAATGAAAACAAAAACAACAACAATTGTTAAACCACAATCTAGTAGGAATATTGATTTCATTCTTCACTGGTCAAAGCGTGATATCTGTGATATTTTTCTCCTCTCTTTACTTTTAGAAGAACCAACAATTACAAGTTTATTAGATATTCCATTTGGGGGTTTGAGTAAGTAAATTCTTATTCTACTCTGTGAATTTTTCGTTTACGATTCCAATTTTTCCAGGAAAAGCATGTAAAAATTTAACTATTAATTCACAATCGAAAAATGTACATAGTACATAAGGTATGAGCAAAAGAGGTTTGTTTTTATAGCTTGGCTGTTTTATTTTACTTTTACGTGGCTATCTCTCGCGCAATGTGCTTTCTGTTAAGGAATTGACTTTGAAATTCCGATTTGATCCTGAGAAAAGTAGCCTTAAGGCATTTTTCAAAATAAGGTGCACGTAATGCAAAGATCAAGTGAAATTTTTGTTCGACTTTATTATACATAAAAAATTTCAGTTGATCTTTGCATTACGTGCACCTTACTTATAGCTGCAAAATTCCATCGAGAAGGTGAAAGTTAAATTTCTGCACTAAACTTCATTCGGAAACAATGAAAACGTTTTCTCCTGATACAATTTAATGTCCTCTATCGAAGTACGCTAGAATCAACTCGTCATATAAAGAGATAAAGTTTTTATTGAACTTTTAAAAATGGGGCAAAAAATCTGAGAAAAAGTTTAAAAAATTTTGTATCGAAAACTACAAGTTCAAGATTCGAAATTTTTTTTGCAGTATCCTCTACAAACTGGTGAAAAACTAGGTGGGGGATTCCCTCCTTAAGAGGTCTTTCCTTTAAAAAGTTATTTTTCTTCCATAAAAAGTCTATTTACTCTTTACTTTGAGGTGCTGGTGATAATCTTCGTTATTTAAAACAAACAATTAATAATTATGATAGTGATGATTGTGAAGATTTAAGACCATCACCACAACGACAACATAGCAAATGTACAAAAACAACAAATACAAAATCTAAACGTCAATGTACATCATCATCAAAAAAGTCTACCTCACCAAATACAACCATATCAACTCCATCTATTTTTTTGGTTGATACACAACAATTAGAATATGATGATAGTGATTATGAAAATAAACTACCACCACGAAAACCATCAAATCAAATCATGAATCAAACAACACCATCTTCATCATCAATATCAATTCTTCAAACATCAAAACCATTAACTGGTAGAAAAATTCTTGGTACAAATGATGATAATTATGATGATAATGAACAACCATCACAAAAAGAACTCGTATGTTTATTAAAACAATCATTGTTAAGTAATACAAAAATCGAAGAAAAATATTTAAAACAAATATTAATCGGACAAGAAAGACAAGAAAATATGATTAAAATGTTATTTGAAAATCAAAAAAAATACAAAAAGCATTATGCAAAAAAAAGGTAATAAGAGTCACTTTCTAAGAAAGCTAAACAGACGTTCGGGTAAAAAGTCTCAGTTAGGGCTGATTTCTTCTTATCGTGTACAGCGTAATTAAGAATAACCTAGAAAATATTACGGTCTGAAACCTTTTCTCGTAAGTTACGAGGGATACAAGTTTCAAAGGTGATCCGGAGTGAAAATTTAAAAACGTTTTCTAGTAAAATCATGCACAAATTAACGGTGTATTTTTACATACTACCACTGTTAAAGACTGGCTGTTACGGAACGTTCTTTTTACATAATATTACATGCTTTTTATATTTATTTATTTCCATTTAGATATATTACTACGAGAAAATATGCAAAAATGTTGTTTCTTTCGTTCCTGTTATTGACTAATTAGTACTAGTTAAGATTAATTTAGCCTACTCTACTAGCTATAAAGCTCTAAAGTCCCATTTGTAAAATAACGACTCAACAAAAGAATTGAAGCAATACCTAATCTGATAGAGAATTTCACTGGCTACAAGACAGGCTACCTTTAAGTCGGTTTTTATTCCACTGAAAATCTCAACATAATTTTTGTTTCGAGAAAATATAGCAAGGTACCAAATTCACTAGTGTTAACGTACAAAAAAAGAAGTATAGAAAACTGATATCTCTAATGATCTTCTGCACAATATTCAAGAAGTATCACGTTTAGCTATCAGTGATTTGTGAAAAAACTTCATGTGCTCATAAAGCATGATAAATTCTTTAGTGGAGAAAGAAACCAGACCTACTCAGCAGCCAAAAATGAATTCAAACAAATAAAACTTCTAAGGTAGCCTATCTTGTAGCCTGTGAAACTTTCTATCAGATGGGATATTGCTTAAATTTATTTGTTGGGTCGTTATTTTACAAATGCGGCTTTAAGCTAGTAGAGTAGGCTAAATTAACCTTAACTAATACTAATTAGTCAATAACATGATGGAAAGAACAAAACTTTTTACATATTGTCTCGTAGTAAATATGGTCCACATATTTCTTTATTGATCTAGGTAAGAACCAAGTTTTTATAATGAATGGAAAATGGACAGGAACTTCTTTAACAATAGACTCTTGTTCAAAAATATAACAATATCTTTTTAAGTAATTAATTTTTTTCTCAGCCAGATAATGTTAGTAAGCCAAAACACTACAGGACGTATACTTCGAAGTACCCTCTACAAATTCGGAACATTAGAGAAAAATTTAAATGGGGGGAAGAACCAAAATCTCTAAGAGATACTTCAAAC